CACAGACCTAAAGCACAGGTTGAATGGTGGGGGAGGGAGGGAGGGGGGTTGCAGGGGTGGTAGGTGAATGTGTGAAGTGCAGATTAGAGCGGATGGGGGGTGGTAGACTGGCATTTTCAGATTGGCAGTAAAACACATTCAGATCGTCAGCCAGTTGTTGATTCTCCACAAGCTGTGGGGGTGGTGTCTTGTACATGGGGATGTTCCTCAGACCAGTCCATACTGACGCCGGATCATTGGCTGAAAGCTCTTTTCTCAGCTTTTCAGAGTAGTTTTTTTAGCCACTCTGGAGAGCCCCAAAGCTGCCCGTGGGACAGAGTGATATGCATCCTTTATTGCTGTGTAACAGTGATCCAATATATTGCTGTTTCTGGTGGGACACGTAATGTGCTGCTTGTATTTTGTCAGCTCACGGGAGAGATTTGATTTGTTAAAATCTCCAAGAATGATTAAAATAGAGGCTGGGTACCTTTGCTCCATTTCAGTTATTTGTTCGGCCAGCTGTTGCATCGCGGCACTCACGCACGCGTCCGGAGGCACGTACACATTCACAAGAATGAAAGAGGAGTACCCGCGGCGAGTAGGAAGGTTTACAGTTTATGAAGAGTGCCTCAAGTTAGGACAGCATACCTTTTTCAGCGTTGTTACATCTGAACACCAACTTTAGTTGATGTAGAAACACAATCCACCCCCCCCCCTCTCATTTTCCCTGTTAACTCCACGATGCGATCCGCTCTGAACAGCTAGTAGCCCGGCAGATGAAGCACGTTGTCCGGAATGGCTTCACTCAGCCAGGTTTCAGTGAAGCACAGTAGAGTTTGAAAAGTCCTTGTTGGTGCGGGTGAGGAGAAGAAGTTCATCCGTTTTGTAAGGAAAGGAACGGACATTCGTGAGATGAATGCTTGGGAGCGCAGTTCGAAAGCCGCACGCGCGGATAGTGGGGTAACTTAGTAATGACGGGCCCCAGTGCAGGCTATTACGACGGGCCCCCAGGGGTGCACGGTTATGAAGCACATACAAACACACAGCGCTCGTGTCTAGAAGGGAACCCACATAAGCAAATTTGTGCCTAACCTACTTAATTTAGACCAACTAAAATCAGTATCTTATCAGATTCTTATAATAAATTGAACATCGAAACTCAAATTGAAACTATTTGTGTGCGTTTCTCTCTAACACACACGGCTATGCGTGCGCCCTGGCCGCAGCAGCCAGAAGTACCAAATTAATCGTGTTGAATTTTACAGTCATCAGCATGTGTTATCTATTGTATTTGCAAAGCACAGAAGGCAAGGTTGTCAGAAGCATTGAGTGTTTCAACGCTGTGGTGCTGAAAATACCGCAAACTTTTTTTTTTTTTTAGCACAGTAACCCAGTAATCGCGGCAACCGCATTCCTCTCCGGAAAGCAAGATGCTAGATAAGAAAGAGGTCTAAAATTTATCAACACCATGTCCTGAATCATGGCCAACTTTAGCGGCAACAACCACTAGTTGTAATACCCACAAGCACATACACACAGTGGCGCCTGCAGGTGTACGGCTGTACGCACTGTGCGTACCATGAACGCTCAGACTGACCTGAGATTTGCCCCGCAAACATTTCAGCAGTAAATGATAGGCCCGTGTGTCCCGTATTTCTGTCAACTAAACCAGTCATGCCATTAATTATGAATTCATCAGTCTTTTGCACGCCAAAGTCAATTTCTGCGTATAAACATTACGCCAAATAGAAACAGAAATTCGTGCTATACGCACATTCATGTGACCAGGTTAGCCTACAACAATTAATTTGTAGTCTATTTTACAAATGGGAATACAACGAATTCATGACAATGTTTTACATTCAAGCTACCCGTAAAATTTTAGTGTAACGTTCTTTAAAATCATCTGGAATGCAATAAAGTAATTTTTAAAGCTGTTTTTAAAGCATTTGCTGCATGGATTAAAAAAAATAGGCCAATAAATAATTCACATATCAGACAAAATTGTGTTGCAGCAAATCCTTTAAATTTTAAGGTATTCAGATCAGAGCAACATACAAATCAGAAAAAATATAATCGGGCCTGTTTAAGGCTTTTCCTTATTGTTATAGTTTAGATGGTGATGAAAAAATGACTCGCCATCTCCTCATTGGACGTGCCTTTAGAGAGAAATGCATTTTTACGGATTACATAATGAAAGAGTTTTTGTTTTTTCATTATCACAACGTTTTGTTGATATTGTGAATGTATTTCCGAATGTATTACTCTTACATAAAGTTATGAGCAAAAATTACAGCGTATTTTAAGTTGTTTCCACTCTCAAGAAAAAATGCAAGTGAGTGGTCGCGCTGGCGTCTCCATGTCCTGCAGAGTGCCTTCAGCTTCCACTCTTCACACAAACGATTAGATATGCGCCTAATAACATTTCAACTAACATTGTGATATGCTTGAACTGTTTTATATCTATAGATTTTATTTTAGGCAAGTCATGATGATTTGAGAAGGCTAAATTGATCAATAGGCTATGATCAGCTCACTGCCTGCCGCTGGCCGCTTGGTCGTTACTTAAAAAAAAAAACTTACATTTAACGAACAAAAAATGCTCCAAACGTTTTTCTAAATTAACTTTATTAAAAATGAAACGCAATGTAATCACTTTAACATTACATACACTCTCGAGGTGACCCCAAATAAATTACAAAAAAAAAAAAAAAAGAATTAGGGCCGCTGCGAGGGAGTGACCCAAATTTGTCAATCTCAATATTTTTCTCCTCTTTTGGAAAGTCGTGGAAATGACATATAACAAATAAAACAAGACTATTCATTCTGTGTTATATTTTTATTTAC